GACTAGCCATACACTCCCTGACTATCCATACACACTCCCTGACTAGCCATACACACTCCCTGACTAGCCATACACTCCCTGACTAGCCATACACACTCCCTGACTAGCCATACACACTCCCTGACTAGCCATACACTCCCTGACTATCCATACACACTCCCTGACTATCCATACACACTCCCTGACTAGCCATACACACTCCCTGACTAGCATACACTCCCTGACTAGCCATACACACTCCCTGACTAGCCATACACACTCCCTGACTAGCCATACACTCCCTGACTATCCATACACACTCCCTGACTATCCATACACACTCCCTGACTAGCCATACACACTCTCTTACTAGCCATACACACTCCCTGACTAGCCATACACACTCCCTGACTAGTCATACACACTCCCTGACTATCCATACACACTCCCTGACTAGCCATACACTCCCTGACTATCCATAGGCACTCCCTGACTAGCCATACACACTCTCTGACTAGCCATAGGCACTCCCTGACTAGTCATACACACTCCCTGACTAGCCATACACACTCCCTGACTAGCCATGCACACTCTCTGACTAGTCATACACACTCTCTGACTAGTCATACACACTCCGTGACTAGCCATACACACTCCCTGACTATCCATACACACTCCCTGACTAGTCATACACACTCTCTGACTAGCCATGCACACTCCCTGACTAGTCATACACACTCCCTGACTAGCCATACACACTGTACAGCTGTACAATAGGCAAACTCAATACGATACGATACAGTGTCCCCCTGATCAAGCCACCAGGGCCTCTTTAAGCATCATTATTTTTTTACTTCTATTTTCTTCATTGTACTGTTTTTTTTATTTATTACTACTTTGACAGTTTAATGTGATGCTGCTGTTGAAGCAATTTTTATAAAAAAAAAAGTATCCTTCTGGACCAGTAAAAATATTTTTGTCTCAGTTTCAGTTCACTTTCCTGCTTGTTTGTTTATCCTGTGTTTACTGCCTTTTTTCAGTAGCTGTGGATTATCGTTCCTTTTGTGTGTCCAGATTCGGTAATACTGTGTATCCTGGTGGGTCCCTTCCAGCTTAGATGTGTTTATGACTCCAGTTTTACTGATATAAACTAATATAAACTATTGGAGGAGTGCTGCATATTCACAAGTATACTGTAGATTCTAATGCTGAATGCAGTTTGCTGGAATGGAATTAATAATATCTCATATTATTAATAGTAAGTATATCTGTGAACAGATAAACTGACCAAATTATGAGTGAAGCTTCATATTGTTGTCACAATCCTTACAGAATAAACTGAACCTCATTCACAAGTCTGTGTTCATGTCTTGGAAGGGCAGGTTGAACAACACAGTGGGCTACATTTTTACAGAATACACTTTAAACAATGTATATGTAAAGACACAGTACCTGTAAGAAAAAACATCTAATGTAAATATTAATGTTTTCCTCTATTAGTGTATTGATGAAGTAAATAATCTGTATTTTACTAAACGTCTAAATGAAAGGGAATAAGCTAAGAGCTCCTCCACAGTGTGAGGGTGGAAATAGATCAGTGTAGAGTTCAGGCAGGAATTCTGGAGCACAAAAAGACTCACTGATGTACAGGCAAGATGAAACACGCTCTGAGTGACCTCAGATCTACAGAAGAAGGTTAAGGGTGAAACTTTTCACCAATACTGCCGTCTGAATTCAAATTCCCTATTTTTTGTTCCTGTTAATTCTTGTGGTGTCATCATGTTGCCCTCTGATGAGTGGTGGGCTAATAAAAGGCCTTGTGGACATTCAGTCCTGCTTCCTGAAGTCGTCTTCAATCACTATGACTACATTATATCACATCTACAGTGTTTCTTTAATGTGAATATTAATCTTATTTAGGCTGTATGATAATGTATGGAGTTGCAAGCAGCTCAAAGTAAAGAAGCTAAATGTTTAATAGTTAAATCTATATGTGTTAGTAAAAATATATACAATATAATATTATTATATTAGGGGACTTCTTACATATGTATTAGTTAATAGGGGACAGGCTAAATCGAAGGCAAAAACAAGCGAGGTCAGTAAAGCGAAACAGGCAACCAATCAAGGATTACGAAATGTGCACACGATAATAAAAGACAATACAGAAAGAGATTCAGGGGGAGGTGTCTACAGCTACTAGTGTTTTCCTCCAGTGACACGTGATCTTGTGTCATTCATATATAAGCAGAGCTGGTGAATTTTCCCCACACAGATCTCTGGTCGCTGCCGTGTAAAGATCAGCTGCGCGCAGCGAAAAATGCGCCTCCCGTTTAAAACACTGTATTTGGAGACAGCGGTGAATTTTCAGCAGCAGAGAGTTTCTCAGTATCTGCTCTGAGTCGGACCTGCTGAAGATCAGAGCTGTGAGAAGATCAGCACCTGATGATGGAGGAAAATGGGGGACAGTCTCAGCAGAGGAGAGGAAGAACGAGAGAGGAGAGAAAGAAGATGAATGAACAGACTTTAACAGAGTCTAATGAAGGTGTGAGAGAAGAGCTGAGAGTCCACAGAGAGAGCCGAGCAGGTGAGTCTAATCAGAGCAGCAGAGCTTTAGACTGTAGTGTTTTTCTGATCTAACTCACCTGATTAACCAGCAGCTCTTCACTCAGCACTTCAGCAGCTCCAAATGAGTCTGATAGAGCAGAGAAACACTCAGTCCAGCAGGTCAGGGTGCAGCACTGCACACTCACATCCAGACCTCACTGCACTTTCACACCATCTGATTCATCACTGCTGGTTGTGTTGATTGACTCTCTACAGTTATTATAATGTGATTAATTTCTAAAGCTGGTTTTTGTTTCATGTATCCCACCAAAAGTCCAGCAGCTCTAGATGGAGATGCTGAAGACAGTGCTGTAATAAACTGTGACTGAGAGACACTGATCTTATTAAAGTCAAAGAGTCAAAGACAGACATTCCCAATACACTAAAAAAAAATGACTCTTTGAATTTACATTGCACGAAATTATCTACAT